ATAATCAGTCACAAGAACGTCGAATCTGAATCACTTGTAAAAAAACACGGGGGTGCTTAACTTTTTTCCAGGTGTATATATATTTCTGTAGTTTGTTATGGTTTTGCTACTTTCTGTAAGCCTGTTTAAATAGTGACACTCACTATTTAAGTGCAAATTGTTTCTTTCCATGCCATCCAGAATTATTCTTTATTCATCCAAGGTTACCAAGTGCAGTATCTGTGCCTTTTTCTTGAAAAAATGTAAGAGATTGATGTCATCAGTTACCTCTTATCCTTTTTTTTTACATTTTCTTAATATCCATTTCTCCTATAACCTTGTATTGTAATTCAAATACTATTACAGTGAGGTGTTAAAACACACACTTAGATACTTTCAGTTAAAGTATTAATTGGTGACTTTTGTGCTTTTTTTTTGTAACTCAAATATCCACTAGGCTCATAATCCTCTTGCTGTAATAAACTGATCATTATATGTTAGGAAATTCATACTAATCTACATTTTTATTCAATGATGTATGAATAATTAATAGCATGTAATTACCTTGACATCATAAAAGGAATTGACCATGTAGAATTAATGATGAATAGAAAACTGTGAAAAAAATTACTACAGTTCATATTATTCAGAAGTGCTTTTAGTTTCTTTGAAATTAATTCCAACAATTTAGTTGAATTTTGATAAATTAAGTTATTTTGATCAGTTTTAATGGATGTTCTGAATATACTACAAATAGTTCTTAAAATTTGAAAAAATACTTTAAAATTATCATAGAGAAATTTGTCTATTATAATTTATGTTTCAAAGACCATGGAGTACAATAATTTTAGTTTATATTCTTTAAAACACGGAAGATACAGTAAGTTATTATAGGCTAAAAATTAACTGGTGAAATTGCATACATTATTAACTGTGTGCTTTTCAATGTTTTATTTATTAGTTACTTTAATAGCCTGTGGGTATATTTGTGTTCGAGTAAAATTGTCAGAATTATTGTTGTTAAATTGTTGTACAAATTTCAAATTTTTGAGCTCAGAATAATGTACATATTCTTGACTGCAAATATGTGTTATTTATACATATCATAATCTGGTTTCTAGAAGAACATACATACAGACACTTAACAGATATGTATATGGATAATATAAAAATGTTCAAATTAGCTAAAGATAAGCATATTTATACATTACAACTTCTGTTATAGAGCCAATGGATTAAAAAGGAAGAAATAGAATTTTTGACATATCTTCAATTATTATTTTCATCAAGAAAGTAATCTTTGTAAATGAATGAAACTGTAGCAATGGCTGCTTATGTTAAATAAAAATTTAGGAACTAATAACCAAATTACTAATAACCCATTAATTCTAAGAACCCGTGAGTGAAGGAAAAAGAGAATATGTTATAATATGTCAACCGCAATACATTTGCCAAATCCATTGCTAAAATTACCTCTTGCCCAAACCAGACTTCATCAGGCTAGCTTGGATATGGCAGACCTAGTAATGGTCTAGGTGCTATATATATATATCATCAGTTTTCATGAACAGCTGTTAGGATATAAATCAGATTACAGAACTGGATTGTAATTATTATAAATTTTATTTAAGTCTTTTACAAATCAGGCTTTTAGGTAAGAATTAATAACACAACATCATCTATTTTATTTCTTTATTTATTATTTTGTATTATTATTTTATTTTAATTAAATTTATTATCATTCACAAGAACTGGCAAACTGACAAGCTAGTTTTCTTCCTCCTGAAGTGGGTAATGTAACCACAGCATCAACAGGAGAAAACTATATTAGTGATTCTAAGAATCCAGGTGTGAAAGCAAAGGAGAGTATGCTATAATATGTCAGTCACATTATTGTTTGAATTCATACCCAAGTTTCTTATCAGCTAAATGCTTTCTCTATAACAAAAGTATGAATGAGACAATATATATCGTTAAATATGTTTAATTTTGTTCAAATGATTAATCAATATACATGCCTCCTAGTTCTTAATTGAAATATAAAACTTTTGTAGGTCTTAACTCTTTCTAAATAAATTAATATAAAACTTGTATTATTATAAAAATAAAACAAAGTGTATCAATGAATCAACAATGACCATATTGAAATTGGATTTTTCAGTGACTAAAATTAGTTATCTGATATCATGTTTGCTGTGTCTGTTTTGTCTGTTGACAAATGGGTAACATGTAGTTGAACTGAACACCCTAAATTGAATAAATTGTTGGATTCAAGCAAAAAAAAAGACTAAATTATAATCTTTCAAGTAACTTAACGCTTGTTATGGTGTAGCTTGAATTAGATTTATATTTCAAATTAAACCATTTATTGGCTTTCAAGATTGAAAACACACTAAGAAGTAGGTTTGGCAAAGTATTAAACATGAAATGAAACATAGCAAGGCAACAGTATTAAATGCTTATAATTTTGCTTCTCATCTGGTTAATTGCATGTAAGCCGAAATGGTTCTCAACTTATATGCAATTTTTTCAATACATCCATAAACATGCTAAATAAGTGTTACCTTGTGCATATTCAATTATTCTTTGTGAACATTGCAGAAAAGTTGAATAATGCTTTATAATGATTACAGATGCTTTTCCTCTTCTTGTTTGAAGAGTTTTGACATTATATATATATATATATATAAAATTACAGATTTGACACTAGCAGTACTGAAGAATTAATTTACAATGACTACACCATGTAATGAACCATAATTTAAACCTGTGCATTGTCATTCAGTCTAAACATTATATGAACTAAAATTAGCAGACATGGGTAGTGTACCATAATTTAAATACTGTTGCCTCACTATGTTTTATTTTATTTTACAGTATATTAAATCAATCAAGCTCTATCTCAAATACTATCTCTTTTCTCTCTCTCTCTTTACAGGGAGCTCTTCTTCTCAGTGAAGTTTTACGGGAACGAGATGTACAAGTTCAGTTCAAAAATAAAATCATGCAAATACACAAAACAAAGGAAGCTGAGTATGTTGAATTTATTAAAGAAGAATATAAAAAATATTTGGATGAGCACAAAAAGATAGAACAAGAAAAAATTAAGAAGAGACAGCAAGTTGATGAAGAACTAAAAAAGCAGTAAGTTTTACTATTTTTTATTTTCTTAATTGAATATTTCATGATACATCTAATTTATTTTATTCAAGCCTCTAAACAGACTTAAATTAGAATAATCTGGGTTCTTTACCCTGATATTTCAATCTGTTATAGTTTTAAAAAAAACTGCAGGTTTTATGAATATTGGCATTTTGATAATTAAAGATTACTGACTTATGCTACTATCAAGATGTGATAGGACATTGGAAGTTTTTATTTTGTTACTAGTTAATACAATCTTCTTATGGAAATGATAACTGTTTTTACTTTATGTTAAAATAAACTCTTTCAGTTTTTTTGCAGTTGTTTAGTGTAATCACATATTTAAATTATGAGCAGAAAATTATTTTTTTTTATAAAAAAGGCAAAAAATCATATGTTTGTAATAATGCTAATAAATTATACTGAAATATAACTGAACAGTGTAAGCTTATTAGTTCTATATAATTCCTATTTTTACCTTTTGGATTTTGTGCTTAATTTTCTTATATAATTACTAAAACTTTCTATTCTTTACATTTTGATGAAAACTGAAAAAAAAAATTAATGCTAGATTTGTAAATAGATGAATAACCATTGTTTGAAAACTGATCTGTTAACATTATTGTATGACATAAAAACACAAATCTTATATCATAAATATTGTTCATGTTGTTATTATGTAATTTTAGTTTCCCAAAAAGGTCTTCTTAGCAACTGCTAGTGGGCTATCAATTTAGCTGATCTGGAAGAATATGTTCCTGATAAACAAAATGTTTTGGGTTCAATCCCGATCTGTTCATAGTCGATCTTATTCCCACTTTCTATTAACTAACAAAACCATAAGGTCTTTTGGTCTTTCATAAAACGTTAGAATTATTATAACAGTTCATAAATGGCTGGTATTAGGTTAGAACTGTGTTTAATTTGATTTTGATATTGAACTGATTATTAATTGATCACTTTCAATGTAGTGAATTTACTTAGTTGTAAATGGCAATATTTCCTTTGAATTTATTGCCAAAACGGTTTTAGGAATCCTTGTATTCATGTAAAAATTTCTTATATTTAACTTTTTTTTTCTTCAAAATCCACTTATAAATAGTGCTGTTACTGGTTTTTTGAGATATTGAGATTTATCATTTATTAAAGAGTGAGTTTCTCATGCTACATATGTGTTGTAAATTATGAATATGCTGTACACAAATCTTAGTTTATCATAATACATTGTTTAGATGCTTTATATAAGGTTACTGATGACTTTTATGTACATCATTATCTAAAATTATGAACATATTATATTTATCTATATATTTAATATTGTTTTTCAGGATACAGGAACTCAAAGAAAATAGAACATACAGTAATATAGAAGTACCATTATAATATAATAATAC